TTGAAGACTCTCTTGATGCTGGAAAACTTTGAATAAGCTTTTGTTTGAACACATGGCAGAGCGGTGTTACATATTTACAAAGATAACGTCGCTTAGAGAGTGACAAAAATAACAAGAAGAAAATCTGATCCCACTCAGATTGGCTACAGTTCGTCAACGTAGCCAATCGTGAGTGAGCCAACCAGTTCACAGGTCCCGAATTCCACGTTTAATCAAAAGAGTAATGCAGAAGATATGAGCGTGACCATTCAGACCTCTAACCGTCGCATTATGAAAATGTTCTAAGACGTGATGGGCATCCGGGCTCCCACCTCGAACGAATGACGCTGATTTGCGCGCACCGCCAAGAGCAGGAGAAGGACCTTTCCGCATACTCTTCGGACCACGTTTTGAAGACGGCCTCGCTATTTCCAGTTCCTAAAAAACTTCTGAGATTAAAAAAGTTCAATAGAAACACAAAAAATAGCTAGCCAGCCAGCCACCCAAAATTTGACGATGTAACCTACACGTCGGGAACGAAACAGATAATCTACAAGCTAACTGACTAATGACCAAATAGATTCATCACCGCTAAAAATTGCGGGAAAACCCCAAGTATTAAAACAGGATCAGCAGATAAAAGTACGAAAAAATGTATTGGTGTTCTGACCAAATTCAAAAACAGATAAAAATCAGGATGGATTCAGTGCTCAAATCAACTAAGCGAGTATATGAACTATAAAAATAATGAACCTCGCTGGGAAGATTTTGTAACGAATCCCTATACACATTCTCGACATTTTGACACATTATTGTAACGTCATCCTCCATTTGATTGAATGTGTAACAATTCCGGAAGACAGTTTCAAAGTCCTGAACAGTCAAAATTCTGCAGTGCACTTACATCGCCGGGCATATCGACAATCTTGGCCAAGAAGAGCTGTTCGAGAGTTCGAGCCATCGCTACGATGTCACTGTGAGGAGGGTTGTAAGTGTAGCAGTTGTTGAACATTGTCATAATATCCTACAAATGATATCGGAGAACCTTTATTTTGCCAACTAATGCTATCATCTACGTTACAAAAAGGATCCACGAATGCGATAGGTACAACCAGAACAAGGAGTGAACCAAATACTGCTAAAGTTTTTCTTTGATACGATGTTAACGTCATAGATTCCCTTTCAGATAGTTCAAAGGCAGCAGATTCTCCGATATTCCTCCTCACTGCCCAGAACAGCAACCTCTTAAACCTCATCAAATATACGATGTTAGAGCTCACAGATTATAGGAGTTGAACACGAATACGAATATTTTGAAGTTGGTTATTGCGGCTCTAAAAATTTGCACAAGCGCTCAAAAATAAAGCTGCTATGCGTTTACAAGCAAAAAGGTAAAGTTAACTAGTAAAGTAGCAAAGCATTACGTTGTACTACAAGATAAGCAATAAGGAATCTATGAACTCGAACATCGTAAAAAAGGAAAACGGGCGAGGCGAATTATAGCGCTTGGCCCAAAACTCCGAAAACTCCAAGTGCTGATATGCCACGGCACACAAACAAAAAAATTTAACAACAACTACCTCCATGCACTCCTTCGCAGAGTAATAGTATATATTCTGCAACCGCTTCTGAATGGTCTTCAAATCCATCGGACGACGAATCACTTTGTGATAGTCCTGTTTACAAAAATGCAAAAATGAAAATCAGCTTTGACAACAAGGACTTCTAACCGGCAAGTTCAATTTGACTGTATCAACGGGCACGTTGAACGGCCAAGCGTGCTTATGTTTCATGACATCTTTGAGGACTGTATTGAGGAGGTAGTCCAGCTGATTGGTGTGTCTTGTGGGTTTGCCCATAGGAGGAATAACGCGCGGTTGGACGATGCCATTTACTGGCTCCTTATAAAGTAGATGTATGCTCCGTAAAATACAAGCAACGAAAATAAAAGATGTAACGAAAATCGCAATGGGTGGTGCATACCTGACGAGGAGACGCCCATGGATTTTCTGCTTTCTTTGCGCTGTCGTCAGCTGTACCGGCAGCATCACCTTCACCAGATGTACTTACTGCATCTAAGTTCCTTTGTACGTCAGCGGACATGGCTGGACTCCACCTTAATGGGAAGAAGTCTTGCTTGATTCAAGGAAGTGAGGTATGATAAATGGGCGAAATCCAGCTTCTATAAGAACATTTTCTTCCAAATTCCTTTTGGAAAGTAGTGTTTAACGGATCGCAACATATCCTACATGACGTCAGAGATCAATGATTACTGCCAACGCAAGTGAAAAGCAAATCAAAATGTGCGGATGGCGGGCTCATAAACCGCAACGCGGGCGCTAACGCAGCGCGTGCGCATGGGTACAAAGCAACGTAAGAATTGTTAAACGTCAATTGTAGACCTCATAGAGAGGATACTAGAACTGAGTTCCTTCGAAGATAGAGTACCATAGAGTCGCTTTATTCAGTGGAAAATGTATCCAGCAACCTTCTGTGCAATTGTGAAGAGAATCGTAAAACCAGGCTCACGTGCGCACATTTCACGGCCAACAACGCATCATACAACAGAATGCACACCGACCAGAAACTACTATAGGATTCAAGACGTTTTTGGATACTCCTAATAACCTTATTGGGCATGTTTAACCCAATGTATGGGAACCGACGGAGCTGAAGCGCATAGAGAGAGAGAAAGAGTCATGGCCTAGAACATTCCCTCGATCGATCCATTCATTGTAGACAGTGGCAAAATGCGTCAGAGAGAGCGTGGCTGGCGGAGGGCGCAGGGCGAAAAAACACTCTGCGTCCCTGTCGGAGGGCCCCGGGCCTGGGGGGACCCTTGTCTTTCAGGACCAGGTTATTTCATTGCGCTACCGAAAGTAATGCAAGGTCTTTCTGCAAAGGAGCGAGTGACTATCAAAGACTACCACAAAAAAATCACTCTGATTCAACCATGGGGTACTAAAACGAGATGTTTGACATCTCCACGCAAAGCGCTCCACATCTTTCCGGACTTTTAAAAGGACCAACCTCCTCGTTCCTGCATGCAGTACCACTCCCCACTCAGCAGAAACAAATCTGGCCACGCTGGCTGCGTATTTCTTCACGGACGGAGTCGTTGACGCATCAATCATCCCCCACAAAAATTAGGTTGCACTTCAGTGTGGTCTTCCGAAGATTAATTACAGTAGGAGACGTTGTGCGCCCTTTAAACAACACGGGGCGTGCCATTTCGGTTGCCGTAGTCGATATGCACTTAGCATGTAGGGTTGTTTCTATCACTAGGTGTTGCGAAAGCATGTGGGACCTCCCTTCTCGATGA